AGGGTTGTCGCAATATGCGTTTTTGCTGCCTGTTTCAGCGCTCTAGCGCTGCACGCAAAAACGCATGATAAGTTTCGGCTCTTTACTTCTAATGGCCGTACTCGGTGCGCTCGTCCCCGAATGCCTGATATAAGAGCATGCTCCAACTTCCATTCTCACAAGGACGCATATTTTTTCAGCTAAATGAGAAAAATTTTTTGCGTCTTCTAAACATCCTGTATATCTTTTGATCTGATTACGGCGTAGTCAGTTAACATCCACTAATTCGTACAGATCACGTTTGACACATTTGAAACGGAGCAGTATGAAGATTTTGTAACAATTCTCGATGGTGGGCCCGCAGAAAATTCGTCAGTTGTTATGGCTATCCTTTCCGGGTCAAAGAAACCGGAAACACTGATTTCGAGTACCAATGTAATGGTGGTGCGGTTTAGCAGTGATGCACAGATACAAGTTCGTGGATTCGAAGCAAGCTGGAGGGCCGGTAAGCCTCTCTCGGACAGTGTTTTATTTTTAGTTGCTGGCCACCTCAATCTTTTGCAAAAATAAGCAACTGCCCAACAATTTCCGCCATATAGCGCTAAATATTATGCATAACATTATTTAAAGGTATTTACCGCAACTAATATTCTAACCAGTCCACCACCTAACCATCTTAGCGCAGAAGTTCGATGAATCGAAGCATTGTTTTCATCTTTTACATTCTTCTTTTATGGATTTAACCCTGAAGGAAAGGTTTGGTCAGTTTTATCCCTGAACATTACAGTGAAACAGTCGTAACATGCCACAGCACAGTGAAAAAAATTATAAAATATGGAAATTAAAAAGACGGTAAATTCTAATAAACTAACTTGTATTTTAAACGGTACGCTTTTTTCAGTTAGTGTGTCTTGCGGTGGTGTTATGAAAGCTCAGCCTTATGGGCAAACGTTCACCAGTCCGGACTATCCCAAAAACTACCCAAATGGCGTGGAATGTGTTTGGAAAATCGAAGCGCCTCCTGGACAACTCATTTCCCTTGATGTTCGTTCATAGTGGTTTTTTTTTGTTTTAAATGAACTGTCTTGTCTACACATAAGATACACAATTTTTCTCAGACTATCCTGAAATTTTTGTTTTCTAAGTATCAAAATCAATAAAATTTTCCATTCATTCATCTTTATTTCAGTGCTTTTTTTTTGTGGTTTTTTTCGTTTTTTTTTGTGGTTTTTTTTCCCGGATGTAAACGTTTGATTAAACCAGTAAAATAGCTTAGATAAGCAGCTGAGCAGTGAACAAGTATATGTAGGTCGAGGAACTTGATCTGGAAAATGTGGACGATTTCTTGCTGATTTATGATGGCAGTACTTCGCTGGCTCCAGTGCTGGCTCGCTTGTCAGGAACCTATACGCAGCCTCAGCTTATCATATCCAGCCAGTCACAGTTGTATCTTTACTTTTATTCAAATTTCGCGCGCAGTGGCCGAGGATTTAGTATTGCATACAAACGAGGTTTTTGTTTTACAATTAATTATAACTAAACTTTCTTTCCTCAGCTTTTTTAGCTCTAATTTTGCTTCCCTTCTTCAGATGAATTAAATTAATTTCGAACTGCGAGACTGGTGTTAAAAATGTTTTTCACAGTATCCTTTAAGGATGTTCGAATCGCATTCGTCTTAATCAAGGAATTATAACATCCCCTGGTTATACTCAGGTAGCATATCCGAATTCTCAACGCTGCGTTTATACGGTAGAGCTTCCGGATGGTAAATCGGAACAGCCAACAGCTTTTGCTGTCAACAGCTTTGATGTTGCCGAAGACGATCGTTTGCTTGTCAGTTTTTTCCATCCTTGTTTTAACTCCTTCTTGAATACCAGGGCCAACAAAATCGTTCAAATTCTGTATGCTTACTTCCTATGTTACTGAATGCAGCTACTCTAGCCTCTCCTGAATTATCTGCCTTTAGCTTAAAGCGATATTCCTACAATTTAGACGAGACATAAAATGAATCAGTGGACTATAAACTTCGCTGTACTGTGATAATGTTCAAACTCCAAGC